TATAAAAAACAAATTCCAGCCAGATCAAAAACAGACATCATATCAAATACCATAGACAGATAGAAATAAATAGGCTTCAATTATTTTCTTATTTAACAAAGAAAAAATCATAAATATTTATGAAGACGTGATGTTTAGAGCTTTAAAAAGATTTGGAAAATTTTAGAAACAAATTAAGATCGTAACAAGTAAAATAAAACTAGAAATTAGGAAAATATTGGAAATATTAACTCTATAAAACCACTATACTGAATAAACTCAAATATATATAATTATAAAAAGTGAGAAAATAAAAAATTATATTAAAAAGTAGATTAATAATTGGTTGTTATAATTTAAAAGAATGCTATATACACATCTAAACTACTACGCGTCAATGACATAGATAAAAAGTCTTTTTTATCCTTTGAAAAGTAAGCAATGCCTATACAAATAAGATACATGCTATATTTAAATAGATCTCATTTGTGGTTTGCATTTAAACTGTCAACCACCTGCTGAATTTCCTTTATTATTTTAATTTTTTCCATATGTTAAATATCTAAGTAAACTGTTATAATTTCGCATGTCATCTCTTAATTGTATGATGCAATTTCAGACATATTAAAAAGTAATAAAAAATTATGAAAAATGACCTATTTTATATTGACCTGGACTCTTAGATTTACGTTTCTACCTGAAATATAAAAAACAGGGCTAAGCCTTATCTTGCTTTGCTCCTGGAAGTTTGCTCCATCTGAAATGGTCTCTTTTTCTCTAATCTCTACTTGCCCATATTCTAGGCATTCATCAAGCCCAGCTTGAAGGCCAGTCCGGAGGAGCCTTCCTTGACATCCTATGGTCCTTAACAGGTACCCTTCTTTTTTCTTTTTTTTTTTTTGAGTCAGAGTCTCACTGTTGCCCAGGCTGGAGCGCAGCAGCATGCTCATGGCCACCACAGCCTCGACCTGCTGAGCTTAGGCGATCCTTCCACCTCAGCCTTTCAAGTAGCTGGGCCCACAGGGATGTGCCATCACGCCCGGCTAATTTTTCTTGATTTATTGTAGTGATGGGCCTTGCCAAGTTGCCCAGGCTGGTTTCAAACTCTTAGGCTCAGGCAGTCCTCTTACCTCGGCCTCCCAAAGTGCTGGGATTATAGGCGTGAACCACCACATCCAGCCAACAGGTGCCCTTCTAAGATACACATCACGTCCTTCACTTTATAGCGGAGTATACTCAGTTCTTTCATGTTAAAGATTTTGTCTTATACCTCTCCTAGAACCTGTCTCAACCCCTCAAGCATGCAGTAGAGTACCTTAAACACAGATGTCCCAGTTGTAAGAACTTGGCTTTGTCTGTGATCCATATTCATGAGTAGTGTTCCATTGAAACCTCCCGGCTGCAGTACTCATCGGTGTGACAATCAGCAGCACCGTCCTTTCTTTCCGTGCTGCCCTCATTTAAAAAGCTTTAAGGAACTAAGTTTTCTCATTTAACAGCTGCTTTATAGCTTTAAAGGCCTTTTTTGGCTGTTCAGTGATGACAGAACTTTATGTTGTATACAGGAATCACTCAATGAATTTGACCTCCAATAAACACAATTGATTTTACAAGGATATGAGTAGTCTAGAAAGACAGCAGAAGAGTTGGGGCAGGCTGTTACTCCACAAGAAACAAAGGAGCCTAGGCAGGATTATCTAAAAGAAATGAAGGAGCCTAAAACTATGCTGAGTTCTCTTTAGAAGGCTACAGAATCAAAACTGTCAGACTGTTGACTTGAGAGCTGAAAGGATCTTTAGAGACCATCTAGTCCCACCTTCCTATTTCACTCTGGAGAAAAACAGTGACTTTCTGTTAAGTGAGTTAGCCTTGGGTTTGGTTGAATTAGTTAATACATATATTTAGAGATTTTAAAACATGTGACTATGCCATTAAAGTATTAATAATTTTAGAAGACTCTGTCATACTGAAGGAGTTAATGCATCCCCAAAACACCTAGAACCTGGGGTTATTTTACATGAATATCCTGACTGCCTAGAGCTATCAAGAAAAGCAGAGATTCCCCTAATTTGTGTACTCTTTCTCTCAAGAGGGCATCCATGGGCAAGGTTCATCCCTTGGTGGGTACAATATTCCACTGAACTTTCTAATAGACTACACCCATCATCAAACCATGCTGTTGTGTAGGAATAAGATTTACAAAATCGTGTAATTTTAATATAATTTTGATATTTAAAAACTTATGAAACAAGATTAAAAAAAGAAAAAACCTCCTAAAGTCTGAACAATTGATCTTTCTTGATTTATGGGCTTATGTTAGATTTCCAAGAAGCGTGTGGTGAAGACACAGTGTCACAGAGGAGGCAGACATGACAGGTCTTGACAAGAAGGCCAGGTCCATGAGGATAGCACTACACACAGTAGCCATGGAGGGTGGCAAAGACTGTCCTGCAGACCCCGGGCACCCACCTCCCATCTGACCTTGGGCAAAGGCCTTTGCCTCTCTGGGGTTCAGTTTCCTCTGTGGTTCCCTTTGTACAAATGACCCTTCTACCTAAAATGAAAATAGCAGAAATAAGCTACCTCAAAGCGCTGTCCTGAGAATTATAAACAAAAAGTATCTGCAGAATGTCAACTACTGCTGTAGACACCATGCAAGAAACAAGATGAGAATGGTGTTTATAGACATGAAGGGTCTTGCCTGGAAAACACAAGAGGGGTCATATAGAGTATTCATAGTAATACACTGACCTAACCACTTTCTCCAATTATCTGGGGAAATTCGCATGTTTTTCTAAGGTTCTCTTCTTTAACCACTGCTCTTTTTCTCTCATGGTTTCTTTTTTTCATTTTATTATTAAAAATAAATATCTAATGTGACTGGGCATGGTGGCTTACACCTGTAGTTCCAGCAATTTGGGAAGCTGAGGGGGAAAGGCTCACTTGAGCCCAGGAGTTCAATACCAGTCTGGACAACAGAGAGACCTTGTTTTTACCAAAAAAAGAAAAAAGAAAAAAGAAAAATTAGCCAGGCATTGTAACTCAAGAGGCTGAGACAGGAGAATAACTTGAGCCCAGGAGGTCGAGGCTGCAGTGGATGGAGTCTCTGCACTCCAGCCTGGGCAACAGAATGCAACCCTATCTCTAAAACACAGCCACATACAACTATCTAATGTCTACGTAAAAGTGGAGAGAACAATGACATGAATCCTCATGTATCCATCACCCAGACACACGAACATCAGTTAATTCATGGCTAATGTCATTTGATGTATACCCCGCCCATGTCCCACCCCACAATCCTATGGTATCATTTAAAATTGAATCCCAAACATGTCATTTCATTTTTCATAGCTTTATAAACACACAAGTCCTATTTATTTGCCATTTTATTTTCCTGCTTCAACATCCCTGATGTAAGTTATTTATAACAATAAAATTGAGGCAATACTGGAGGTGCACTTGGGGCCAGAGAAAATCTAGAGATAAATGGTTTAAATTTTACAAAAAGGGACAATGCTTCAAGGTAGAGGTAAAGTCAGCTTGTAGGAGTCCCTGTTGCTATGTTGCTATGAGCATGGCTGCACTCCAGTGGTCAGCTGAAGCTCTGGCCTGAGCTATCAGTCAGCTCAGGGAGGAAGGGGCATTTCTTATTTTTCCCTGAATAAGTCTGTCCTTTCTTACCTCCAAGCTTCCCTCCCACTATTTTTTTTTTTTTTTTGAGTCGGGGTCTCACTCTGTCGCCCAGATTGTAGTATAGTAGCATCATCACGGCTCACTGCAGCCTTAATCTCCTGGGTTCAAGCGATTCTCTTGTCTCAGTTTCCTGAGTAGCTAGGACTATAGCTATGTCCCACCTTGCCTGGTTAATTTTGTAAAATTTTTCCTGTAGATACAAGGTCTTGCTATGTTGCCTAGGCTGATCTTAAACTCCTGGGGCTCAGGCAATCCTCCTGTCTGTCTTTATCTTCCAAAGTGCTGGAATTGTAGGTGTGAGCCATGACACTTGGCCTTGAACCCACTATTGAAAGCATAATCACTTTAGTATCGAGCTCTCTCCCCAGCAAAGCCTTCCTTGGTTCCTACAGTCAAAAAGTACCTTCTTCCTACTTTGCTGTTCTTGTATATTGTCGGTACCAATGAATGCTTGTAGACTGAATGAATGGGACTTATTTCATTCTACCTTATATTTTAGTAGTTCTCACCTCTCTCTCACTAAATTCTAGATTCCCTGAGGAAGAAGATATTGTATGTTAAAGTAGCTCTGTATCCCTACTCCTTATGCATTTATCTGTACACAATAGGCACTCAATAAATGTCTCACGAACAGAGGAACACTATAGGAAAAAAGCTAACTTTGTCAAATGGTTAGAGAATTAAGCTTCTGACAAATGACTTCATGTAAATTATGAGCAGACTAGGAAACATACAATGTATATATTTTTTCGCTGGTTTCTTGCCTTAGGTAAGCAAACTCGGACTTGTCATCATAAAAGAAAAAGAATTCAGGAGTGGTCTCCAAATGACCCAGCAACACCTGCCTGCGATACCATAATCCCGTTTTCCTCTCCTCCCTTTCCCAAGGTGAAGGCTGCATTGAGTTACTGCTCACAAGATGGAATTACAGGACTGAATCTGAGACAAGGCTTCTTTATGCCGTGTCTGGTCATTAATTAGCTGCTGGAAGCTTCAGGACAGGACCATTAGCATGCTCATAAACCTCTTATTTTAAATGTTTTCGCTTAGCCTTGATTCTGATGTGACTCTCCTTGTAAGCTGGACGTAGGACATTTGTTTCTTAACATTTCTGAGGCTCATTAACTACCCCATCCCGGCGGCTCATTAACCAAGCCATTGGGGATCTCGCCTCATCCAGGCAGAAGCCTCCACAGGGCCTCGCAGAGCCTTGGAGGGCGCCGGATCGGGGAGGGCGCCAGGCTAGCTGCAAGGCTCTGAGGGGAGCGCAGGGTGTCGTCAGTCTCCCTGCGCAGGACGGCGGTGACAGGTGCGGGCTCACTCACCTGCTATTCTCCCAATGGGCATGGCGTGCTCTTCGGGCGGGGAGACCGAGACCATGATGTGGTTCATGTAAGCCAGGTCTTCCCGATGCGAGAGGTTGATGGGCTTCCCTTCCCTGTGCAGCCCGTCCTCGGAGAGCCTGGACTGTTTGAAATCCACCGAGTGCCGGGGGTTCAGGATCAGAGGGTGCATGATGGGGCTGGGCATCAGCTGGATCACCCGTGTGCTCTCTTGCCGGGGGCTGGATGGCTTCGGGTGGGACTCGGAGGACGGCGGGCAGTGATTATTCTCCATGGGAGACACGGACAGGGGGTAGGACTCCTGGTGGTTGTTCTCCTGGTGCAGCCTCGGTCCCTGGGCCCTCTCAGCCGGGGAGAGGCGGCGGATCATGTTGTCCAGGGGGGACCGGAGGGGCCGCTGCTCGGGGTCGGGAGAGGGCCGGTGGTTTGTCGTGATGGGCGACCTGGAGCGGTGCAACAGTTCAATGGTGGGAGGGTTGTGGTGCACGCTCTCCACCGACGGCCTGGGGGTCCTCTGGACACAGTTATCTGGGGGGCGGAGGGAAAGAAAGACAATCACAAACCCCAGTGAACGGGCAGGACTTCGCCTCACAGCGGTTCTAAAGGAGTAAATAGCGCCGCTTGTACCTGTGGGGAAAGCACCTTTCTCTGCAGGATGCCGAGTGTCTTTTCACTGTTTAAGGAAATGAAAGCGAGCCGGGCTCGGTGGCTCGGCCGGCCATCCCACGCCTTGGGAGGCTGAGGTGAGTGAATTGCCTGAGCCCGCGGGTCCAAGACCCGCCTGGGCAACTTGGCGAGACCTCATCTCGACAATAAATCAAAAAAATCAGCCGGGTGTGGTAGGGCATGGCTGTAATTCCGGCTACTCGGAAGGCTGAGGCGGACGGATCGCCGGAGCCCAGCAGGTCGAGGCTGCGGCGGCCGGGAGCGGCCACTGCACTCCAGTCTGGGTGACAGAGTGAGACTCCAACTCAAAAAAACAAAAACAAAAACAAAAAAACCCCAAACCAGACCAAAAGAAAATTAAAGTGCACATATTGGGTCTATTTTCCTACTGCTAGGCAAGCTGAGAGTGTCCACAAGCATTCCATTTAGTCACCTGTCAGTGGTTTATAAACACAAGAAGCCATATTTCCAGTTTATCTTTTTCTCACTTGACTTTTCTATGTGGCTTTCAGAGTTGGATCTTTAGAGGTTTCTGCCAGATGCTTTTATTGACTTACATTTTTATACCCAAGTTTTCATATTCTCCACCTCCAGAAGTTGATAGTATCAATGACAATGCTAATAGTGATAACGATCAACAATTACTATATTCTAGATACTAAATTTTATTGTTTAAAAAGTATAGTACTCCTAAGCAGGAGATACCACTATCACTCCCGTTTTACAGATGATAAAACCAAGGCATATAGAAGTTAAGCAACTTACCCAAGGTCACATTGCCAGTCAGGGGATTAGAACCGGACTCCAATCAGATTCTAGAATCTGTGCACTCATTACAATATCTGTCACTTTGCAACATAGAAACTGGGGCACAGGGTCATAACCTGCTCTATGTACAATCATGTTGTACTTAAAAGAACTTTTTTTTTTTTTGAGTTGGAGTCTCACTCTGTTGCCCAGACTGGAGTGCAGTGGCACAATCCTGGCCACTGCAGTCTTAACCTGCTGGGCTCCAGCAATCCTTCCACTTCAGCCTTCCAAGCAGCTGAAACTATAGGCACGCGCTACCATGCCCAGCTAATTTTTGATTTATTGTAGAAACGAGGTCTTGCCAAGTTGCCCAGGCTGGTCTTGAACCTGCGGGCTCAGGCAATCCACTCGCCTTGGCCTCCCAAAGTGCTGGGATTACAGGCTAAGCCACCGAGCCTGGCCATTTTAAAGAACTTTTAGGTGCACTTTGTTCCTGAGTGCACAGACCCAACCTACAAATGCTCAGAGACAGGCAGAGGCAAGTGAGAAGCAGGATGGATGGAGACTCCTACTAACACCTCAACCGCACTTGAACTTTTCAAGCTGGTGACATCTGATCAATGAAGCTGCAGAAGTATATGTAGCTCAGAAAAGCTATAGCTCTGAGGATACGTCCCTCAACCCAGCATGCATGTGGCTTCAGAAATCCCCACTATGGCTCAGAAGGGCAGAAATCTGCCCATGAAAATGGAGATTTCTATAGGACGCCATACCCGTCTCAATGAGGTCTCTCTGGACACATCTGTTCCCAGAACTGTCTCACCAAAAGGATGTGCATACTTGCTGGTCCCTGTTCTGGTCAAAGACATGTCTGTAGTTCCAAGCAAGTCAAAGACATCACCTTTGTCCATTAAGACATTATCTATATGAAGAATACGTAAAGGGGATGTGGGACTCTGACAGGGTCAGTAAACAGTGACAGAGGTTTTACACAGGGTTAAGAGGAAAACTGGGACTTTTTTTTTCCTTTTTAAAGTTCTGCTAAGCCGGGCTCAGTGGCTCAGCCTGTAATCCCGTGCCTTTGGGAGGCTGAAGTGGGTGGATTGCCTGAGCCCACGGGTTCGAGACCCGCCTGGGTAGCGAGACCTCATCTCTACAATAAATCAAAAAATCAGCTGGGCATGGTAGCGCATGCCTGTAATTCCGGCTACTGGGAAGGCTGAGGCGGAAGGATCGCCGGAGCCCAGCAGGTCGAGGCTGCGGTGGCCGGGAGCGGCCACTGCACTCCCAGTCTGGGCGACAGAGTGAGACTCCAACTCAAAAAAAAGTTCTGCTAGATCTCACCTACTGTATGATGAAATAATGTTTATGATATTAAAAAATCATCTCTTTGAAGGCAAAGGGTTTACTTTGTGACTACTATATAACCTGTTGCCATAAGTTAAAAAATGCTTAGCTGCTGGGGTAGCTATCAAAAGGAGATTGGTTTAACAGATTATGGTATATCTCTAAACAATGGAGTTCTATGCAACTGTAAAAAGGAATAAGGAGTATCTCAATATTTTGCTAAGGACCGGTAACTAGGCTGTATGGTTAGATAAGAAAAGCATGAAGTATTTAAGATTTGTTACCACTTATCTATAAAAAGAGAAGGGGAGTTTCAGGTTCAATAATGGCAGAGTGGCTTGTACCAAACTAACATTCCTGCAGATAAAAATGATAGAAGCTGAAAAAAATTCATTTAAAAAACCATTTGAAAGTACTGGAGAGTGACAAAAAGTAAGACAAAAACTGAAGGGGATTTCACTCTTGAAAGAAGGGACCTGTAGAGTGAGATCCACATTCATGTAGCTTTTCTCCTGAGGGCACTCCTCAGTTCACACAGTATAGGACACTTAGAAGATAAGCAGAAAGTTGTTTGAGATGTAAGAAGATAGACTATGTAGCTGCCAGAATGCAAAAAACTGAGGAAGCAAATCCCATAAAGGTGGGAATCTGAGAAGTGACAGTGACTAAACTGGCATATAAAAGTTCCCTCAAATTTTTGTCTGACTCCTGAACAGCAAAGGAGGAGAACAGAGGAGATCCTAAGGCGTTTACTGAAAAACCACAGGTGTATGAGCAAAGTACATGAGCAGAAATCTCAGCTGTTGGCTACTGTGGTGGAGAAAGAATTCAGAGTTTGAGTCTAATCACATTAGAAGGCTCTGTAAACACCTCAGGCTGTTCATTGCCAGGAACAACCACACCTCAGGAGCAAAGACTATACTCTAAGACGGATCTGGCTGAGGACAAAAGGCAAAACTGAAACAGATTTGGCCTAATGAAATGAAAGACCAAGTTGTTACAAATTCAAAGTGACTGGTTAGCAATTTAACTGCCTGCTAGAATAAAAATCAACACTCTTCAGAGGAATAGAACATAATCCAGAGTCTCTAAAATCTATCATTTTCAGTATCCAATAAAAGTTTCCTAGACATGAGAAGAAACAGAAAAATGTCACCCATCATAAAGAGTAAAAAAGACAGTTAACAGAAATAGACCTTGAGATAATTTAGGTGTTGGAATTAATAAAAACAGAACTTTACGGCAGCTATTATAAATAAGTTCAAGCCCTTAAAGGAAACAATGGCCATAATGTATGAGGACACATAGAGACTATCAAAATAGAAATGGAAATTGTTTAAAAAACAAAATGAAGATTCTAAACTGAAGAGTACACTATCTGAAAGGCTGAACTGGATGGTCTTGATAGCTGGTTGAAGATGAGAGAAAAAAAGGTTAGTAATTGAAGATAGATTAGTAAAAATTATATCCAAACAAATCCTCAGTGACCCATGGAACAATATCAAACAGTCTAATATACAGAATTGGAGTTCAGGAAGAATATAGAAAAAACAGAATATACAAGAAAAAATAATGGCCATATTGTCCCCAAATTTGGTAACAACAACAAAAACATCAACAACAATTTTTAAAATTATTGTTATTTTTATCTTTTTTGAGTCAGGGTCTCACTCTGTTGCCTAGGCTGGAGTGCAGTGGAACAATCACAATTTACTCTATCCTCATCCTTCTGGGCTCAGGCAATCCTTCTGTCTCAGCCTCTCAAGTAGCAGGGACTAAAGGTATGTGCCACCATGACTGGCTAATTTTTTCTAATTTTTTTTGTAGAGATGAGGTACTGCCATGTTGTCCAGGTTGGCCTACAAATTCCCGAGCTCAAGCAGTCCTCTTGCATCAGACTCCCAAAGTGCTGGGATTACCGGCATGAACCATCACACAGCAACAAATTTAAAGATCCAAGAAACCCAATGAAATCCAACACAGATATATACAATGAAAACCACACCAAGACACATAATAGTCAAACTGCTGAAAACCAGAGATAGTCTTGAAAGCAACCAGGGGAAAAAGGATGCTATGTACAGGGGAAACGTTATAGTTATTATGGCTAACTTCTTTTTAAAAAAAACCTTAAGAGAGAGAGAGTGCTCAGACACACAAGAAGGATACGATGGAAGCCTACAGAGAGAAAAAGACTTAAAAGACACATTGACCGTATGCAATGTATAGACCCTTGTTTGGATTCTGATTCAAACTATAAAAAACATGTATGAGATAGTGGGAAAAACGTTAACCCTAAAAGGACAGTTGATGATACTGAGACTTAATCATTTTCAGTAGATGTGATAGTTCTGTGGTTATGACTTTATGGAGTCCTTTTCTTTTCAGACCTGTGTTGATATTTTTACCAATGATATGATGTATCTGGAATTTGTTTTAAAATAATCTGGGATGGTGAAGAAGAGAGTAGGTGGAACACAAAGGAAACAAGGTTAGCCATGAGCTGATCATCAAAATTGGTGATGGCTACACAGTGGCTCATTAAATAATTCTCTTCACTTTTGTAAAGGTTTGATATTTCCCATAATAAAAAGTTGTTTTTAAAATGTTTAGGCCAGGCTTGGTGGCTCAGCCTGTAATCTCAGCACTTTGGGAGCTCGAGGGTTCAAGACTAGCTCAGGCAACTCACTCATCTCTACAATAAATAAAAAAATGAGCCAGGTGTGGTAGCGCATGCCTGTAGTTTTGGCTACTTGGAAGGTTAA